AAAGGACTGGTATAGATCATTTCCACTATCTATTTCATACAATGGCGAGATGTGAGGATAGCCCCATCTTCTTTCATCAGAATGGATAGTGGAACATTACAGCTCCTTGGGCCCTGCTATCAATACTTTAGACTTGGTCTTCCTTAACTGCTTCTAGTAAATTTTCTGCTTATATCGATGTAAATCCTCCCGCAAAGATCTTGTTTAGCTGGCATTTATTACGAGGTTGCTGCAATGGTATCAAGCTTTAACCTCGTTCTCTTCTCGAGTAACTCCTTATTGGTAGTGGAGATATGGCCTGAGCTTCTTGTTTGCTGAAGTCAGGCGCGAATTCGGCTCAAGTTTTAAGTCTTTCCGCAAGCAGCTTGTAGTTTTCGGTCGAGTCTTCCTTTACCTGTTGATAACATGAGGAGAAGATTAAACTAATAACAATCTCGTCATACACGACTTCTCTTGTTCTCTTTGGACGATGATAGGAGTTCTTCTCCAGTTTCTGACTGAATCAAATCTTTGCAAGGAGAAGACAGTTAACAGGTCGACAAGAGAATAGTGGTACCATGGAGGGGTAAAACAGGCGTCGTCTTCTATGAGATAATATGTCGATTTCCGTATATAACGTGTCGTAAGGAGACTCCTGTTCAACAGCGATCTTCTGTTTTCTCAAAAAAAGAATAATTTCTAAAGGGCTGAAATGCTATGGACGTGAGATCTGCAAAACGGTTCCCATTCTCATTTCGATTGCAGCTTCAAATTTTGTTTTTCCTACACCAGGTTTTGTTGGTCGTTCCTAATCTAGCAGTGGAATCTCCAACAACGAATTTACAGAACGACTTTTCGTTGTGGATCACTTTCTCCGACTGGATACAGAACGCGTCCAGCTAGTTCTCATTAGATACACTAGTTGGCGAGCAACGATTAATGGTACTCAGATTTTTTCGACGCATAAGTTGAGACCAAGGATGGCCAAGTGATTGGATTTCGTATAAGGAGATCAGATGGGTATACGAGAAGGCCAACACTTCGACCGCACGTAGCAGAAAGTTCCCTCTACGAATGAATAATGTTCCGCTGCCTAACTAATGTATGTCGATCATTTTCCTGCTTTTAGTTCCTTGTAGAGCGAACAAGTCGTTTTTAATGAGACACCGTCTTCAAAAAGAGCGTAAACATCCGCGTTTGAAGGGATTGAACTGGTGTATTAGGAGTAAAGCAAGAAGCAGTCTTCATGGCGTAGCGTAGGGGTTCTCTTTTTCTCTGCTTCCAACGATCTCCTGAGCATCTTGTGATTGGAATACCGAGGGCAGCCCAGCAAGAACTTTGCTCACGTCCTAGTCACAGTCAGCTGCCTTTGTAGATTTGAGAGAGATTTGCTACCTTGTGACTAATTTGATACCAGGACTGCGGTGATTTCCGGGATTGGCATGCTCTTAGCTGGGCTTCTGCATGGAAATATTGAACTCCATGCTAGCATGGAAGATACTGTTCGAAGGTTAAACCCTTCACCAGTGTATGTAGAAGTCCGACACCCAGGAACAGTTCTCAACCACGATGACGCGGTGAACATTTGGGAGAGCAAGTACAAAATATGTAGTAAAAATCACTCCATTTGGTTGTTGTTTGTCTTAAACAAGTTTGTTATAGGAGTTACTATTTAACAGGACTGAAAGAGCAATGAAAGAAGAATAATCATGTGAATAATGTGCACTTTGAGAAGAATTCATGGAATTGTATCATATAAACACGTTAAGGAAACTCGCTGGAGTTTCACAAGAGTTCAAGACGGTATGGAGCAGTTTCATCAAGCTAAAAAAATCCTTCGACAGAATTTCAGTGTGAAAGTGGTTATAGACACACGTTGTTAAGAGGTAACAGCGTTTTTTTCAATATATTATTACATAAAGATACTTGTTAAGGGGCGCGTGTGGCGTAGTGGTTGGAGGTGCCACTGCGACACACACGTGGAATCGATTCCAGCGCCCACAGCTCACCAAGCCTTCCATCCCTCCGGGGTCGGCAAACTGGTACCAAACTAATTTGGGAGGCAGCATTGGCTCGATACATCGGTAGGCCACTGCGAGTTGTTGTGAAGGCCAGCTATGCATTCAATAACCTCCAACGATACTTAAAGTCGAATGCATGGCGCATCCCTCAGGGATTGATCAACGTCGAGAGCTTTTTAGAGCTTTAAAGATATTTCGCAAATTGTGCCGAAGCATCCCGACGAAGTTCTCCAATTTTGTAAAGGCAACAGCATCTATGTGGAAGAATAGTTCCAAAATTTGATGGAATTTTGCTAAGAATGCTCTTTTTTTACTCATCGCAACATGGCAAGAAAGGGATAGTATGAAATTATGGAACATTTGCTATCAGATACGTCACGCTGGCTTTCCTGATAACGTTATTCTCATAATAGTAAGAATTAATCCAGTGGAAAAGAAAAGATATGCTTCCGCAGAAATTTCTTAATTAAACTATTCTTCATGTCTTTCCTTTCAGCTTGGTAACCAATACACTATGCAACGAGGATGGAAATGTAGCCAGGTGTTCACAAACAATGTGTCGGATAAGCATATATGACAAGAATTGATTTTTTTTTTGTCGCCTTTCCTTGTGGCGTTTCATATTAAATTCTAGATTGCGCAAGTGAAGATGAACAAGAAATGAAAGGAAAAATATGAAGGGATAAAGCGCGAGAAAAAGCTGAGATGAAATTGAGGAAAAGTAGAAGAAGAAGGGAGATGAGAATATCAGAATGGCAAATGGTTCCAGAAACACAGTTACCGAGAAAAAGAGAAGACTATGGATGCAAATGTAGATTCGGAGAAGAGAGAATGGGGAAAATATGCGAAATGCTGAAGAAACAAAGCAAGAAGAGACTAGCAAGTGCTCAATTAGTTTATGTAAAGCCGTGAAAAAAGGAAAAAAAGGAAATTAGTGGATAGAAGGACAACGTGTTCGACGTGGGTCAACTCCTGAGAGATTTGCTATGAATTCGACTTTACTATCGTACACGTATTCAAATCCTTTTTAGCCTATACAATATCACTTTCGTGAGCCTATCGATGGACCAAGTTAGTTCGGACATAACTTCAATAATGCTGAGATATTTGCAGAACTCCGAGCCTTAGGTGTCTGCGGTGGGAAAGCGTTAGACCCCGGAAAGGGTATTAGCGCGTTCGTTGCCCACCGCAGACATCTGCGGTCCGTAGTTTTGTAAATATCTCAGCATCTTGATATCGCACCCCTTGTTGATCAGAGGGAGATTTGTCACCATGCGACTTTGATACCAGGACGGTGCTGGTTCCTCGCATTTGTTTGCTCTTAGCTAGGCTTCCTGATGAAAACGCCGCACTCCTTATCAGCTTGGGAGACCCTGCTGGGGGAACGAATCCCCGCGCTATACACGCTATACACCGCAGTGCGACACCCAGGAACACCTCCCAACTACGATGACGCAGTAAACCGTTAGGAGGTATCTCAGCATCATTGTAGTTACAACATACCGTGGTATTAAAAGGAGTAGGCAGTAAATAGCAAGTCAAAATAGTTTGGACATAGTTAACTTTTTCCGGTTGCACATTGTCGCAGTAATTCGTTCGTGCAAATAGATAGGCGTGCATTCTCTACCGTTCTTTTTGTCATGTCGCACAAACTAGTCCACAAAAGACCTTTGTTGCGGTGTAGGATTTTTATTCCACGACTACACTAATATCTGCGCACCAAATTCATACTTGCTGACCTAGAAAACTTATTTAACTCTGGTGTGCAGTTTAACAAGTATAGCGAATACTGCGCTCGATGTAATCGTTACTTATCCATGAGCTATGATAGAAAACGGTCCGAGTGAATAGAACAAAATATGGCACACTAAGACTATAGAAAACTTTCATTAAAATTTGTGGACAGAACGAGCCTAAATGTGTTCTGTGTATATAGGGAACTGTTAGGGGAATATTGGATATGATGAAGTTCAACGAAAAGATGAGAAAACCTTAAGCAAAGTTCATAAATCACGTATGGAATAAGAGAAAGAACGTCATCTTCAACATTTTTATTACTCTTGTAATAGTTATATATAGCGTTAAACGACAACGAAGAAAACTTCAACAACTATGCAGATATCTTCCATAATTCACAGTTTTCATTACCACATAACAAAGATCTCTTCACATTCAACTAAGTATAGGCACTACGTGATTCTTCCCATACAAGTGTAATCTGCTCATGTACAATAATTGTTACATCTCTACTATAAACACACGTGTATGAACGGAAAATGAAACTACATGTAAAGACAAGACTCGTCCTAACGTACAAGTAACGACATTAAGCTTACGGAACAACACTGTAACGTACGAAGAAAAAATATCCAATCTCGTTTTCGAAAACAACTGCACTTCTCTTCTAGGATATAAGTGAAAACGAAAAGAAGAAGAAGAAGAAAAAAAAAGACTAATCACTAACAACACATCTACTAAAGTTTGTGCTCTCAATATCTACACATATATCAGTTTTACGACGAAGAAAAACAAAAACTTAACTATAGGAAGTAACTTCAATGATGGTGAAAACAAGAAAAAAAAACGTAACTGAAAAAATCAACAGCGATTTAGCGATCACTCTACCGTACACCATAGTCAACATATGGATTAATGTATACATCACTACTGCAGAGAAAATATTGTTGACAGCTTAACACTAAACTAACATGAATACACCAGTTCTATGGTAGCGAGTCGAGTGAAGTCTGAAGTCTCAAGTAACTTGCTAATATTATTTTGCAGTACACAAATCAAATAATGATGAAACAACAAAACAACAAAGATTACGAACTTCTAAGTCGAAAATGATGTACAAAATGACCATGACATCATGCATTTGACACGTGCTTTTTGAAATATTCCTGAGAAAAAGGAGTCGCTGAGTTCTGATATAAATACATATGCGAAGCCAAGTATTGATAACGAACAAGAGTAAACTATATTGCTGTAGAGAAAATACTAAGTCCAGCTTAACTTGTGTTGTGTATTCGAAACATTCTGGATGTAATCCATGATATCAGAGTATGATATCACTGCTATCGGTCTTTTCTCAACGTCAACAATCACCTAGATATGAACAATAAAGAAATGGATTATATTAATTTTGAACTATTGGCGAGAACAAAGATTGGGAAGGAAAAATATAACGGTAACTACATACAGGTTTGCTTAGTTGTTTCTGCCTCTACCTATTTTTATGTAACAAACCTATAATTCTCTCCTAATATCCTGCGGTGTTTGGAGCTTATCATTTATTAAAAGGTCTCCGAAACGCTTTTCTTTTTCTTCTCGTTGAACGTACATTCGGAACAAATCGAACAAATTCGGACAAATCGCTTAGGAAATTTTAAAATCGTAATTAAAAATATAATGAATACAATATCAATACAATATGTAATATGAAAAATTCCGCAAGAAGGTGGGAACTTGAATGAATTGATCCGATGAATAAATTTCTACCTCCGTCAGATACAATAGTTAAAATCTACTTAAGATTACTAATAATATTCGAGCATTCGACTAATACTCGAGTAATTCAAATACCTAGAAATGGGACAGGGAAAATTTAATCAACAAATTAATAACATAATTAAATGAATGAGGCGAATTAATCAATAAAATACTTACAATAGACTGTCGATCGGTATTCACAAGAGCAGCGATACAATCGTAAAACGTCATGGTTGTAGTGCCGTAGACAGGAGGATTCATAGAAGCTATTATATCCTGAAGTATAAACCAAAACAATGTAATTACACAGCAAAATGTTTGAAAGGAATTCGAAAACATTCAAGAAATAGGACAAATAGATATAGATAGCTTCACTGAAGTCATTCTACATAAAGAAAAATTATTTGCCTTATCGCATATTCGCAAAAATCATTTCATTTTTCATTGCCTTCAAGCGGTGGATCGACTTGGCACATTTTCTACCGACACAAACATCTCTGTCGTGTTGAAGAAGAATCAAAGTTGCAAGGCGGCGAGTTCCCTCCGATCCACAAAAGTCAGAAAGAGCACGTGATGACGAGCTGGGAACGCCACATCATGGCTACCTCGGATATTCGGTGAAAGTCACATTCGATCAGCATTCAAAACGTTGGTGAGAGGCGATAAAAATGTTTCAAGTTGTCTCCGAAGGCAAATACGAGCGCGACAATTATAGTGTATGACTGCGAGAGAAACGAATGGAGGATGTGCTTCGACCGTCATACCTCGGTAACATTCATCACATACGTCGAGATTTACCAACAAGCAGACAATAGCGGACAATAAGTAGGAGTATTTAGTTATCATTTTGTTTTTTGTTATTATGATTTATTCTATTATTCAAGCGAGCGCGTAGCACAGTGGTTAGAGGTGCTCTGCAATAAATATGGGTCCGATCCAGCACCACAGCACCACCAAGCCTTCCGTCACTCCGAGATCCACAAATTGGTACCAAACCTGCTTGGGAGGATAACAGCACTGCCTCGATACACCGGTAAGCCACCGCGAGTCATCCTGTCCCCTACATCCTACAGGCCAGATAGAATGATCGACACCAGAACCTTTATTCCTTTTTTATTCTTTAACCCAGTTCTTTTCTCCCAAATTTTATTCCACCTCATCTGTGTATGACATCATATGAGTCTTAAAATTTCATCTAATGTAGGTACTAATGACGGCAGTCTTTAAGTTATTGGATAATAAACAATGATATTTCGAGCACCTGCAAAAAAGAAAGCGGCGCAAATGCATTTAAGAATTTCGAGGCACAGTATCGCAAAATATCATTGCACACACAATTGCGCTGAGATATTCGCAAAACTTCGGACTGCAGGGGTCCGTGGTGAGGATCGAACACGCTGTTACCCTTTCCAGGTGCTAACGCGTTCACTACTACACCATGCGGTAACATTACACGGTTTATATTAAAAGGGAAACCCAGCAGAGATTTATTTTCTATTATAGATAAAAAAGAATGGGAAAGTTCATAGGTTCCACAAAGTAATGGTAGAAAACGAATGGAACAATGGATTTCGAAATATAAATAGGTATCTATGTTCTACAGTTCAAAAACATGTTATTTGCATTTAAAGAAGTGAATTTGAGAAAGATGAGAAATTGATGGACCATTATCTGCAAACATGAAACTAATCAAGGATTTGGAATGGAGGTTTATAACAGGGTGAATAAATTTTTTAGGTCTCGTAAAGTCGTTTGAAAAGTATGAAAATGTAACACAAATATCAAAGGGAACCCTGTGCTAAACTTGTTCATTATGCAAGAGCAAAGCCAATCATATATTGTCCGACGATAAAGTAGGAAAGGCACTTGGAAATCGCAATTTTCTTAGTACTTCAAGTGCAATGACTGTGATACATATCGTAATAATGTACAAAATTAACACCCACATCCGACTTTCCATTAACCTCGGCATTGATTGAACACCTTGCTGAGCAGAAGTGGAACGAATTGTACAAAATTAATTTACTCAGTTCCATTATCCCCTCCTCTAGTTTGTTGCAACTTATCGCAAGTGGCTCAGGATGTGTTTGGAAGTCGGAAAGTTTTGTACAGTTGAAGTGGTTCCACCAGTAGAGTCACGCAAGCTCAAAGGGGCTTCGACAGTTCGATGAGGAAATCCACATAAGAGTAGGACTACACTAGAATAAATCCCAACGAGGTACACTTACTACTTTCGGGCCTGTAGTAGTAAAAATGATGTTTCTCGTAACATAAATATGGGTCTCTTCATTTGGCTCGTGGAAGTGAGCAGCACAGGGCAACTCTGCCTCCTGATAGGAATGAATGGCGATTTCACTGGTGCTTATTCAAGTTAATACTAGATTATTAATGAGCTACAGGTGGTACCGCTGTTTTCCATACTCAACGATAAGATTAAAACGGGATCTGATGAAAGGGCTTATGACAGAAACAGTACTCATCAATTAATTTCTTGACCATTTTTAAATCAAAATGAAGGAAAAATGAAGCAGTAACTCTGAAATACAAAAAATATTCACGATCGCTTATTCTCGCAGCTTTCTTTTTATTGTAAATGTATAATGTCCCGTACCATAATTGGAATGTCCAAAACCTCAAGGTAGTTGCTCGGATGGCGTACTAATTCATACATGACATCACTTTTTCTTATTACACCAAGTATGCATCCTAACGAGTCCACAACCGGTACGCTGCTGATCTTTCTAAAAGGCGTTGATAACAAGGAAAGAAGACCCGTGGTCTTAGTAATTCTTAAACTCACTTATCCAGAAATAGGGTAATTGCATCGTCGCACGTAGCAGTTTGAGGCACCTTAAACATATGGATAATTACACGTTCCCTTTAAATACCTGTTTTCAGCGTAATAGCTGCTCCATTTTAGACGAAAATTACACCCTGAAGTTGTCAACAATCTAACAGTTTAGAAGACCAGTGAGGAAACGGACCACAATAGTTTACCACTGAGCACAATTTAGCTTTGCATGTCTTACGACGATCTGCTCATCGGTTGAATCAAAATTGCCCCAAAAGCTTCGAAAAATACTAGCCAAAGGAATACTATTCCACGATGCATCTTGTCTGTTGGAAAAATTTCGGGGTTTTCATGATTTGTCCTTAACTTCTTCCTGTGGAATTTCTCTTTAAACTTAACTTTTGACCCGAATATACATGCTTAGTTTACAATAATGGACTATTGTTCACAATTAGATAGCAATAAAGCGATCTCCATCTCTCTCTTTGTTCCACGTCACCTCTCTGAATTTTGAGATAAATTACATAATCTTAATCTTACTATTTACTGCCTAATCTTTCTAATGGTAGGGTATGTTGAGAAATATAACCTTCATGATGCTGAGATATTTGCAAAACTCCGGACCGCAGGTGTCTGCACACACCATACGGATCCTTCGTTTCGCCTGTCTCTCAGCTAGTTCTATCGATCACTGCCATCAGCAATCATTCAAGGTTAAGATTGTGATTGTAACTACAGCCTCAACATAACTGAGGTCATTATCGATTTGGACTTCCCAGATCAATCCCGTTTACGGGTGATTACTGATGGCAGTGGTCGATAGAACTAATTGAGAGACAGGCGAAACGAAGGATCCTTATGGTGTGGTGGTGAACGCGTTACTCCCCGGAAAGGAAAATAGCGCGCAGACACCCGCAGTACGGAGTTTTCCAAATATCTCAGCAACATAAAGGTTATAAATTACGTATTTGCGAACATAGCAAAGGTTATCATTATCAGCTGTTTTATAAATTTCCGGTCTTGAAAATGTCTTTGTTTATGTCGTCAATGCTTCTCCGTCTGTACTGAGTGCTTTGCAATCCAACACTTAGCACTTTGAGAACCTCAAACATGTATTAAATATGGCGATCAGTTACGAGAATGATGGTAATGCAATGAATTTGGGCACGTCGTCAAATTTTTGATTTCGAGAAGATATAACTTTGCCTACTTGCTTGGATACTTGGATGGCCCAATTTTGCTGATTGTGCGGGCCGTAGCATATTCTCTATTCACCGGAGATTTGATAGTTAAGCCAATGTGGTTCACTGGAGCCCCGAGGACAGCCTGGGCAAAGTCTGGTCCAGGTCATCACCACCGCAGGCGGTCGCCTCCCTTGTAAATCAGAGAGAGATTTGCCACCATGCAACTAATTTGATACCAGGACGGTGGCGGGTCATGGTAATGGCTTACTTTTAGCTGGGCTTCTTGACGGAAAGGTCGGACTCCTTCTCAGTATGGTCGACTCAGATGGGAGGATGAATCCCTCGGTGTACATCTCAGTCCGACATCCAGGAAATCCAGGAACATCTCCCAGTCACGATGAGGCGGTAAACCGTTGGGAATGACATAACTTTAGGTACCATAAAATTTCCAACCACAATAGCTCTTCACACCGACGAGTGTATCTCGAGAAACTAGGCACAAAATGTTATGCATCGTTTAGAAACAGATATCTGACTCTGGAACAGCAGGAATTGATTTGTCTACCACAATGACATTCCTTCCTTATATTTCGAATTCACCCTTGTCCTGGCTTCCTTGTCTGCATTGTAATTGCGCAATGTAGAATTAGCCATAGAAGCAGACCTATGTAGACGTTTGACATAAAAAATGCAAGAGCCTGTGGACAGATATATGAGATTGATCTTGATTGTGCTTACAGGCATTCATTTGCTTGTCGATCTGGTAGAGTTCTGCAACAACTAACAGGTCCACACCTGTAGAGTCGGTTTATTGTCGTTAACTTGTAGGAAGCGCTCGTCTACGAAGAGATGTTAGTCTCGAGCTCTGTCAACATTGCAGCTCCTGTAACCTGTAGACGGCATGTTCCATGGATTATTCTGGAGCCGTGTATGATGCCTTTACCCAGTACAATGTTAATGCTGTTTCTTGAGACGAACGTGTTTCTACCGAGCAATAATTGGTCACTTAAATTAAACGATTTTAGCTCAGTTAACTTCTTTTCTTTTCTCTAGAGGAATACGTCCTTTCATCACCCTAAAGGGAAATCCAGACCACGTAGAAAAAAAAGAGCTTGCACCTATGAGATGAAATTGCGTGGTTCATACACGGTATCGAAATAAGCTAAAGTATGGCTGGAAATATCGCAATTTTCAGTGCAATGAATTCTACAATGTTCCTTTTTTGTCATTTTTGCTAGCGATATCTCGCAGAGAGAAGCCAATACCGCATCCTACGAGGGCAATTCCAGACCTTAAGAATAAGAGTTTGTTCAACAAGAAAATTACTATACAGATGGAAAGCGTGTTGAAGTTGGCAAGCAAATGCGCTCCAGAAAAAAACGCACTGGTTAAGAACAAATATTGCTTAGTTTTGGGCAAAGTAGAAACTGTACGATGTGCACGTTTGAAATCGTTATGTTTTCGTAAATGATATTGTGAAGAAGAAGTCTTAACATCAACCGAACAATTTTTGCAACAAACTATATGTGAATATAGCAACAATAAAGTTAAACAACTTGAAATTTGGCAGTGTGTGGGTGCGTGTGTGCTTGTGTACGTATGAGCATCTGCTGCATATATATATACATATACATATGTATATATATACATATACATATGTGTATATATACATATACATATGTGTACATTTGTATGTATATATATACATACATATATGTATATATATATGGGTATGTGCATGTATATTTATAAACAACGCTTAGTTGTTAACTTAACGGGCGACGTATAGGTACGACAACGCCACATGCAATGGAAATGAAATACTCCATGGAAGAGATGAGCTGATCTTCGTGTCTACTGAGTGTTCCGAACCCACCATACAATTCGGCTGAGCAATAAAGACCAACGAAAACTTTTTCGATGAGATATGAGAAGAACAGCGAACCTCAGGGGTGCGCGGAGAACGATACTATCCTTGCAGGGGGATGAAATGTCATTACACCAATTGGAGCCCTTGTTTTGCTTTTCTCTCAGCACTGCTTTTACCCTATTAGTGCTATCGGCAATCAGCCGTCAACGGGAATGCTCTGGAGGGCACAAATCGGCATCCAACCCAATTAAGCGGAAGCTGCAGTCGAAACGACAATGCTTTAACTTTTACTTACTATATATACTTTTTTATTTACTGTCTATTATTCTTTCATGAAAGAGTGTGATATACAATTGTACTGTACTTTATATTGTACCCAGCCACAGGGCGCGCGTGGGTGGTTGGAGGCGCCCCGCACTTCACACGTGGAATCAATCCCCGCGCCCATGGCCGACCGAGCTTTCCATCGCGCCAGGGTAGGTAAATTGGTACGAGACTTGTCTGGGAGGATAGCAGCACTGGCTCGATACGTCGGTTGGTCATCGCGAGTCATTGTACAGGCCAGATATGCATTCATTCACCTCTAGCGTGCTTAATGAAATCGAATGTGTGGCACATCTCTTAGGGATTAATCAACGCCAAGACCTTTATCCTTTATTCCTTTATCCTTACCCAGCCATGAAAAAAAATAAGCAGTGAGTAAAAGTTAGAATATTGTTAAAAAATTTTTGGTTGTCGATAGAATTACTTGATGGTGAACGCAGTTATTCGTGAAGTGTTGAAACAAACGATTTGCAACACTCACTGATTTAGAACTGCTCCTTTTTCAGCATAGTGGTTGCATTTATTTCATCGAAGACCAATTTATCAACCACGTCAAAATTTCCGGTTTATAAGGCGAAAATCACTGTTTTTCTAAATGATCGGGATGGGTTCATCGGTCTTAAAAGCTTGCCAAATACTTTCAGTCACGAAGAATAAACCTGGCTGTGATGTGCATCATTTCTGTCGAAATCAGCTCAACGTATGTATGGAAGATCTTCACGTGTTCAACGAATTTTGATCCATAAAAGTTGATGACAACGGAGCACAATGAAGTGTTCGGATGATGTGAGTCTACTCCGAGTCCACGTGCTACGGTGGCGTGAACCGGTTAGGAGGATTTCTGAGTGTTCTCACCTCAGAGCAACATGGCATGCATGCCTCGTGTCGCCGTCGTCCCTCGTTCTCCAATCGATCATTGCGTTCTCTGGTTGGAAACAGGCCGAATGCAATAACAAAATACACACCAACGCTGACTACTATGACGGCTGCTTGACTGGCTGGCTAGTTGGGTGGTTGTGCCACGTGATCATATGCCGAAAGGCGGCCACATGCTGTAAAACACATCCGACCCCAATCAACCATCTTCATACGAATCATTACGTGATATCGAAAAGGATGACTATAAATATAATTACTAGTATCACAGTGTACACAAGATTATGTTCAATGTTATTAATAACCACTCAAAGTGCATATGGTTAATGGATAAACAGATATTAACCCCCATCTAAAGAAGAGAAAAGCCATTTAACAAATGACAATGAAGTTGTCAATGCACTGGAGCGAAGCTCAGTCCATGCATAATTTGGAATGCTTTTTAACATAATTAGTGACTTTTATACACTCTTTAGACAATTTATCACTCTGAAGTCTAGAATGTTTCTCTGATGAAGCAGACATTACCAACTAGCTTATAATGACTTAATCATTAGTAGAATGCACCAACTAAGTGGTATTGTCTAAGAAATGTCACTATTTGCTTGTGGCGTAATTCAGAGGTTCTTTGCAAGACATACATGGTCGATGGTCTACCTTTGCCCCACGGATTAACTAAGTCTTCTATGATTTCGTGGTGTGCAAATTGTTGGTGTACCTGCCTCGAATGATGAAACACTAAGTTCACAAAACCACAATGATTCTGAGATATTTGCAAATCTCCGGGCCGCAGGTGTGTGCAGTGGGCAACGAACGTGTTATTACCCTTTTATTAATACCCATTACTTTTATTAACACCTATTACTATAAATATCTCAACATCACTGTGGTTATATCACACGTAATACCCTGCCGTGAAAAACTATGACAGTAAATAAAAAAAAAGTTAACTAAGTTGATAAATTGCTATGCATGCCAAAGTCTTAAATTAGACCAAATATGCTGTCAATCCCTCTACATTGCAATGAAAGGAGTCAATTTAATGGCGCAACCAAGACAGATTTATCTCCGCCTTACGCCATGTCCTCCTACCCCTTAACATACAGTAATGATTCGCAAAAATCCCATTACCATTTTTAGTTAGATTAAATTTTGAAAAGAAAACTCTCTAGCTTACTCACAACTGCGTTACTTTGCTAAAAATTTACCTACAAAAGTAATAACCGAGACGATATCGTCAGTAGTAGCGAATAGTGAATCTGCTACCTACTACATGCCTCGCACGATTTCTCAAGTCTTCCTAGGTAAACAGTTCAAGAAATCATATTTGTAATGTCATAAAAAACGTTAGTTAGTTGTTTGTTAGGACGAAAGAAAATTATATTACTCGATGAATTAACGTAAAAAACACTTGTTTAAAATTTGAACTACAGTTCAACTCAAGCCTATTGTGTACACACAAAGATGACATTACCGAAGGTGGAAATATTTCATAGCTTGTGTTTCTAATACACCGTAAACCTAAATGTAGTTTATAATATGAACTTATTCGACCGTAATAGTAACATTATGGCATACTTGTCCTCATTAAAACATTCCAACCGATGAATGAGAAATGAAGTTCTAAAATAGGAAACAACCACTTAAAAAAGCATAAGCTCACATTTTAAATGATCGGAAAAAGGTACGACTCCACTTCAGCTTCCTACGAAATTAAAAGGATAGAGAATAAAGTATCTGCGTTGATCAGCATTTGAGGAGTGCGCCATGCATTCGACTTCATTAAGCATCGTTTGGAGGTGAATGAATGCATATCTGGCCTTTACAATGACTCGCAGTGGCCTGCCGATGTATCCAGTCAGTGTTGCTATCCTACCAGACAAGTCTGATAGCAATTTTCCGACCCTGGAGGGATAGAAGGCTTGGTGGGCTGTGGGCGCGGGGATCAATTCCACGTGTGTGTTGCAGGGCACCTCCGGCCACTGCGCCACACGAGCCGTTCCTACCAAATTACAAGTTATTAAGCGTTAGAAATTAAGAAACGCGAAAGAAAACCCCCATAGAGGACTTCGTCGTTAAATAGCAGAAATTTTCAAAGGCCTTCTTTCTCCTAATTTTTTTCTCCATGTTTATGATAGTGAAATATGACCCTTCGTGTTTGTAAATTTCAGCTCAGATTTTACGTAAATGCAGCGAGGCGTCATTCATGTCTATATGACTTCTAGATTTATTTCTGTACCGGCTAAACTTTTTTCTTTTCTCTACGATTCGTTAGCGGATATAAACTCGAATACTTGGAATAGGAATTCACCAATCCACACCAGTATGACTATGCGCTACCGTATTCCTTTCCTCTTTGTTTACTAGAAACCTGCACCAGTTGAAAGGCTTATTTCAAACAATTTTTAAGGTAGTACAATAGTAATGACATGACGAGCAGGAGTTTAAGAGAACACTTTTGTTCCCGTAACGAAAAGAAAGAATAGAAAAAAAGAGCACGAAGAAAGTGCACTGCAATTGAGTCTTACAACAGCGTTTGATTGAGAATCTCGTTTCAAACACCAATGATTATTCTTGCAAATATTCTCTCAAGATGATAAAAACCAAGAAAAGTCATTACGCCCGTTGCCTAGAGACAAACAAATCGTCAAGCGTCCCATGTAACGCGGTAAAAATAGTAACCATGATAACAAATAGAATTTTCTACTAGTAACTAAACAAAGAAAGGAAACCTCTCTTTAATAATTATTGTGATCTAATTCTGCTCGAGAGTACTAGTATAGAGATCTATGATAACCGCTTAACACTTGGACTTTAGTTTACCTTCAGTAGCTATTTCTAAGAGGTTCTAGCTATGGAAAACCACAACAACACGTATTGGGCGTTAGCTCTGGTAGTTCTATGACAAATTGTTAGAAAACAGAAGAAGAAATAGTAAATTTCTTTGTTCTACAAGAAATTATGGCAAAGCATATTTCACACTGGTTCATATTTCGCTACCATAAACAAATCCATACCATTCATATCATATGTAACAAACGTGGTCTACCAAATTATGTGCGATCGATTAAATCGATTCGATCAGAAAGAGGGCTAATCAAACTCCTCGTTCATCCCATAGCATTGTATTAGATGATGTCTCATAACCTGATACCACATATTGTGAGGATTCCAGCATTTCCTTCATTCGGTCCACTGTTTTGTATCCGTTATCCGTACGAAGATCCTCGGAACAGCGTACGAGGTCGCACGCTACAAGAGCGTCCTTGGTTTTATTTGCGAATGTCGTTGAATGCTGGTGTACTTAGATCATTCCTAGAAATCTCGGATAACCTGCTTGGGCGTTCTCCAGATTTTGATTACAAGCACTCTCCAGCTTTTGTGAATCGCAGGGGCACGGCTATTCATAGAAAAATCAAGGAAGAATTCGGTGATTTCGGATGGATAGGGAACCTGGTTGACCTGAAGCGATTAATGATTACGAGAATATTTCGGACAACTTAGAAATAGAGTTAACCAGTTTTGTTCTCTGGTAGCACAACGACATCCTTCTAGTAGTATTTTCGGCATTTTACATTTCCTTCAATTCTGTTTTTGATCTCCAAAATGTGGTTCATACTTTCAAAGTTTTTAGCAAAAAAATAATTACAATCAAATAAATTATGACATCAAAGGAGATAGTTACACATTCATTTCGTCTTTATTGGATTTGACTGGATTTCAGTTTTATTTTTCAACAATAACGTTGTTATCAATCAAGCCGTATTGCTCTCTTCAAGCTTACACACACACACATACACACACACACACACACACACACACACACATACTTAACCACGAAGACACACGTACATACATACATCACAAACGTTGCTGTATGATGTATTCCTTCCCACACTGACCAAAGATTGCAGTGTCATGAAATTATATTCTATTATCATTGATTTAATCCACAAATAAGCTCCTTAACATAATATAGGCTTCCTATTATCAATTGACGGTCAGTGTAGCATTGTCACTGAACTGTAATCACTCAGAACGGGTTGGAAAATCCATGGATGAGATAAGTACCATACATCGATCGTATCGCGTAGATTCATATGACACAAGGAAATGTGAAAAATAACATGGATATAATCGTTTGGATTATTTTCCTCCATATTCTTCTCAGTTTGCACTCTAATATGGAAATAATGACGGGTATTAGCGAAAACGACATTAGCGATGCCAATAGTTGTACTTCCCATTTTTCTAACGCCGCAGCAAAGTACTAATTGGCAGAGTCGGTGCAAAACAACAGAAAACATCCGATTCAAATCGTGGAATTTTGCCGTATCTTATAAACATGATGTTTGCATTGAGTCTTACAAAACTAGGAAATTATGAATATTTACAAAATAATGTATTATTTGAAACAGCAACATTTACCGTTGAAAGCAATGGTGTGGGATAAAGCATAAATCGTTCTACATTGCTCAAACCCTCAGGGATGCACTATACATTCGACTTCATCAATTACCGTTTAAGGTGACTGAATGCATATCTGGGCAATGAAATGACTTGCAATGGCCCACCAACGCACGAAACCAATAGTTTTATCCTCACAGACATGTATGGTACCACTTCGCCGATCCCAGAGTGAAGGAAGACATGGTGAATTCGGGGTGTTGGGTCAAATTAAGGACCAAGTCTCTATTCCAGGGCACCTCTAACCACTGGGCTTCACTCTCCCTTTGAAATCAATAATCAGACGAAAAACCTTATGAGTATTCGATAAGTAGAAAATGTCACAAATAACAAACTGAACTCTGCCTTTAACCGTTTCGATAAGAACTATCTTAGATGGTTGTATTCGTTTATGGTCTTATGGGAAGTTCAAGAACGCTTCAAATATCGTTCCACTTAAATATTTGTGTACTTTTTAACACAAGCGTCTTAGTGCGAACACGCTTAAACGACAAAATCCATATCACGGATGGATAACATGATTCGAGCAAAGAGGCGGGATTTTGGTATTTCTCTCTCGTATGTAATCTACTAAATAAGATATAGAGTAATGATATGAAAACGATGGTTACCGTATAGAGTCCACTCCACGTTCCAACTCGTCGCTCCAACACCGTTTTCTGCTTGATGTGTGAGCAAAGTGACGGCTTCGGATCCGACTAAAACCATCAGCCATTTTAAAAGCAACACTCCAATTGTAACCATTTAACGTAATTCGTTTTCCCGACGAGTGAAACCCAAGGCATAGCTGTAATGGGTATCGTTGCAATGATCTTATTGTTCTTCGTTGAGCTTTAACTAGAATTTGACTGTTTCCGTAACTACAAACATGACTTTCGAAATAGTAGTGAGATACAGAATTAATGAAACCCGCCATTCTATTCACAGATCTTCGTGGATGCTACACTCTTGAAAAACTGTTTTTGATAACGTCTCAAGATCGGTGAAACGATGACAAGAAAACAATGAAGAGTCAGAAAATTGATAAAGATCGTACCAGTTTCACAATAGTCTCAGCGAAAACCGTTTTTAGACTGAGAACATAAAGTAGATTGCCTTGTCGTTTTCTCGTCTCGTTGCCATTTTCGTAATCTTCGTAGTGAACAATTGGAATGCGATGAATTCTGTTCAAACATATCAACTTCGCTGCATCCCAAACACTGAAAGAATATTCGTACATATAACTAGGCCAAACACATGTTATAGTAATTAAAACTGGTCAAGCGTCATATCTACTTTGGATATTTTGCGATGATTATGGATCGGTGATTTTTCAATAAGCTGCCATAACAAGAGCATATTTCGTAGCACATAGGCCATTTCATTAACTTTCACCATGTATGATGCAGCTAAATAATTCTCCTATTTGGAAGGTCATGGAGATGTTGTGTACAGCTGGGTACTTAGTCATATTTGTCCCGCAAGACATCATGGACCACTCATTATACTCAGCACATACATCCAACACACGAACGAAGAATCAATACCACTAACGTATTCGAACTACAATTGAAATCGCTATCGTCAGAATTTCGACTCAGCGAAACATATTCGGATCTAAAGCAGAGGTGTGGAAAATTGTAGATATTTAACGGATGATGACTAAATGTACAACAATAACTGTAATGCTCATGCATATTCACCCATTATCTTCAGCTTATCAGAGGGCGCAGAAGTCCAGTGATTTAATAAGAGAACAATGACGTCATTCTATGTAGTGCACCAGTAATGCCTCGTATAATTACGTGTACGTCTCATGCTAATTTATTTACATCCATAATTTTCATAAATAAGATTCACAATAACACAGATCACCTATAATCCTGTCAATTATCGAGTAACGGGAGCATATACTAGTAAATGGAATCTTTTTGTCACATTCTGGAGCTAGAGGTTATCAGTTGGCTCCACTCGAACAATGAGACACGAAAATTATCATAAGTTCTATACGACGCATTCTTCTTCATTGTCAACAATTAGAATGCATTCATTGCAGCCTTGCCGACACCCCCCTCCCCCCCTACATATGTTCATTTCAAACCGAACTTATGGATATGTCGAACTCTTCCCCAGTTTGAGTAGCTGTGCTGAAGAACCAAATCCACGCTGTACGTCATATCTTGATGCTCAAAAAGATGGATGCACCATAATGTACAAAACTATGGCACAATACACGTCACTTACTTGGCTTCTACAAAGGTAGAAAAGATTAAAACAGCACTTAATTTTCATACTGTATCAGCGACTTTGTACGACAACATGTCAGTACTAGCCTTGCGATGCAGTTCGTCCAGGTAGCCAAGCAAGGAATACTTAAGAAATGTTGCAAAAAAGCCCTATATGTGATCAAGCCTCTAATTCACAATGCACTTCTCAACAGGCCAACATTCTAGAAGAGGCACTTAGTAGCGCCCCTTCTCCATGTGCAAGTTATCTGACGGTTTCTTATCTAAGCATAAGCAATTGAAAAGCACTACCTAGTGTTCACGTCTGCCGTCACCAACTGCTTGTGATTATTTTGCTTTAAGAACTGGGCGACTGTTTGTTCGGCAACTTTCTGCACTCCTTCCGATGCAAGCACGATAGCCTTCAAGCAATCTGTGACGGTGATAATTCCAAGACCACCTGAAAAAAAGCAATAAGTGCAATGAGATTACTGGTACTTGACAACGAGGAATAAAAAAAACAGACGAAAACGGTACCCTTGACATTTAGATTGGAGACGATCGCAAGCTGATGACCACACTGACTTAGTGCAGTTAACGCTTTATGAATCTGGAATATACAGGGAATGAAAAAAAAGTATTGTACTAAAACAGTTTTAATCAACGAGAAAATTATGAATTTAAGAAGAAGACGCTAAGAAAAAGAAGTTCTATACAATTTCGCCTTCCGTTTTTAACATAATTTGACTTCAATATTTATCTTTGTCCATTCACAAATATATACATTTTTTCTACTAGCATGGACATACATGAACTAGAAAACAACTGCTGAACAATTTTTAAAAGCACGTTTAACTCACTTCGTAACGAACTGTGAGCGTTAAGAATCTCAACGAAAATTTGGAAAACGGCGGTTTAAGCACCCATGCAAGTATTACCGAAGTAGAAGTAGCGCAGTTTATTTACTAGTTTTCGGATAAATTTTTCGCTCTAGTAAATATTCACCTTGAGTTGACCATCGATAACAACTACAGCACTGTGAATGGGTTGAAGATCGTAGCAGGTAAGTGATTGCATGTAGTGGCGATAAGGATCGGTATAACGATCTGTAACACGCACAATAATAAACAGAACGGCCTTAGCAGTACTGATAGTATAAATGCTTATCGATATTTCCTTCTACGCTGCCGAAGAGACTCATTCGTTATATGTCGCAAAAGTATAATGTCGTGAAAAACGACCAACACACGTACGAACAACTTCTAAACCATTTCAGGCCTTCATAAATGAATTAGTGTTGCTTTGAAGAGTGAAAATTTCTATCATGTTACTTTCTCTTATGATAAATCTTTATTTTAAGAGTACACAGTGTTAGTTGTCTCAGATATACACACTAACCAAATGCTGCCACTATCTCAAATTTGACATCAGCTTCCATGGATGGACGTAATATCGCATAGTCCTAAGAAATTACTGAACAACTGTGCTCTCATAACAATTCTTAACATAAATAGAACAAAGATAATCCTTTAAGTTCTTAAGAGGATGACAACTTACAGCGCTATGAAAGACTTTCTCTGGCACACTCATACGTCGTTGATATAGTGGTCTTGGTGACAGATCATCTAATTCATTGAAAACACCACAAGAATTCGAATCTGTGGTACTCGTCTTTCTGGATACATCCGAAGCCAATGGTATCGGTACTGTTACTCGATTTGACTGAAACACATTCAGTGTAGACAGAAGGATAAATCAGCGCAATAATATAACATTCACTCTTGATGGGTTGTTTCATTGGCATTTTGCATTCCATATGTTTCAGTAAATGGCATATGTGAATCATAACACTACCGTAATAAATAGAAATGGAAAATTCGTATCTTCTTGGTAAAAATATAACAAGTACGAATAGCTCTGTGACACCTCTCTGGATTTGTGATGATTATCTACCTCACCTTGCTAATCATTGTAAATCGCCGACTCTTAACATACTCCTTAAAGCCGACCGAGCTTCGACGAGACGATTCTCCACTTGCATGTGGGGAATCGTAGCCGCTTTCGCTGTTACTATAGACATTCAACGGCTTTGTCGTCTCTAACATTCCCGTTTACTCCTCGCTACGATCCTGAATAAAGAATAAAAATATCAATACATGTTCAACTACTCCAGCAGCACCGTAAAAACACGCTCAATGTTTAAGAAAAATATGGAGAAATTCTATAGAATTCCATTTGGCTTCATCACTCATGTTTGTTAATACGGCTGTTGAACTTCACAAGCAACGGTATGAACAACTACCTAAATTCCTTCAAGGAGTGCTACAAGAGAAAATCAACCAGACTATTTCTATCATTCGTGTATTCGTAGCTGGATTTTTGACTGGAACCGCTAAACTCATCCATATCTCAGACGAGGGCAAATGTACGTCGTATGGTGGTATCCGATTTGCAAGAAGAGAATCCATTTACTATAAATTTGGTTAAGATTCCCTATTAAGCAGAGCGAATCAGTTCTATTAGCTTCGCAAAGCTCCTTCCCAGCGAAACCAGAAAGTTGGCTGATAAAATCAGCCTCACTCGAGGAATGTTATTCAGAAACTATTTTAATCATTTCGGAATCTCTAAAGTGCATACTTGGAAATATTATGGATTCCCAAGATGATGAAATGAGGAAAAAGTCTGTCATATTTCACCACCTATACAGTATAAGCCCTATAATTTGAAGAGGTCTACGTAGCGATTTTCAAATGTTAAAGAATAAAGGTCAAAGAATAAAACGGCTGACATTGATCACTCTCTTAAGGATGCGCCATGAACTTGACTCTATTCGTGACATCGCCGAGGTGACTGAATACGCATATCCTGGTTACCACGATTTTTGCAATGGCATGCCAATGAACCAAGTGTTAAAGTTCTGCCCTTTGTGACAAGCCTAACGCCAGTTTGCAGAGTCTGGAATGATGGAGAAGTTGGTCTACTCGGTGCGTAGGATTGAACCAATGACAGCGTGTTTATTGCATGATATCTCTAACCACTGTGCCACATTCGCCTCTAGAGGTCGAGCAACCAAATTCTGATCTTTTGAAAAAATTTTTCCTTAGAAACATTCCTACATAGTCGTCATCAAAGATATGATAACGCTGTACAACTACTTTTACAATTTTTACCATATGGCGACACTCTCCACGATTACTTAGAATAATTATGTATCGGGGTGCGGGTGACGAAGTGGTCGAAGGGGCCCGGCAATCACATGGGATCGATTCTCGCGCCCTAGCACACCAAGCCCTCCATCGTTCCGGGGTCGGCAAATTGGTTTCAGGCTCGTCTGGAAGGAGAGCAGCACTGGCTGGATACATCGGTAGACCACCGCGAGGCATTGTAAGGACCAGATATGCATTCAATCACTTCCAAACGATGTTTAGATCAAGTCGAATGAATGGCGCATCCCTAAAGGACTGTTCAACGCCGACAGCTTTATTCTTTTTTATTTTTCAATTACGTAACATTTGAAACAAATGTCCGCAAATTTTCCAAGAATTCAATAAAAACAATTCGATGTTTCTCTTCAATAAACAGACACGAAGTTGTTACTATAGGGTTTATTAGGATACAATAGCTGACGTTTCGGCGGTTTCGCCTTCTTCAGAGCCTGGAAAGGTCAAATTGAGATGCGATCTACTCAGCCAAACACTTTCATAACCCCAGCAGACAAGACTTAACAAATAAATTTGTATTCGCATAAGAAACAGCTTCATAAAAGCTTCAGTAAAAACAGTGCTTAAACGCTAGGTTTTATTTTGAAGTATAATTTGTACATTTTGCGTTGCCGATTTTTGCAGGCTCTTGCAGAGCATTTCTTCTGGAATGGACCGCAATGAATTCTGCTGCTGTTGCACTTTTGAGCAATACAGTTCAAAGTATCAGAAAGAAAAAGAAACCATAAGCGCGTAACAAAAATATCTCATATCAATCGGTATCTATTCCAAAACTGTTTCGTTTCGCTGGTTTCTTACTCGGACCGGATTTAGTTTAAAAAATAAAAAAAATATATGCAGCAGAATTACACATAAGAAAATCGTTCTTCCAACACCTAACATTACTAGAACACCCTCTAACGATATCCAATTATTAAACTTGACAGTGTACAGATTCCTTTCATGCCACCAGTTCATATATATATATACATATATACACATATATATACATATATATATATATACGCTACTGCTAAGAGGCGCACGTAGCGAGGTGGTTAGAGGTGCACCGCAATACACACTTGGTAACTAGTTCGATAGCACATATTGGATCAATAAAAGTCTTCCATCAATCCGGAGCTCGAAAGTTGGCACTGATATATCTGGGAGGATAAAAACACTGATTTGATACATTCGTAAGTTGATGTTAAGAATGATGTAGGATGCATGGAGTATGCCTTAGGGATTGATCGACGCCAAATGCTTCGTCGCTTTGTCTTTCATAACGGTGTTTGATATATAAGTTAAAAACTAACTAGTTATTCAAAACAACTTCGGTGAACACTTACACTATTAAAAATGATGAATGTGAAACAGCAAGAAAAGGAGAGAACGATAAACAAGAGCATCGAAAACTGATTTATATCGCATTGGAGTCGAGCGATCTCTAATCTTGTACCAGTACTAAGTCGGCCCACCTCACTAACCAAGCCATTTTTACAATTCTTTCATTAAATTTGTGCAAATTAAGATGATTATTTTATTCTTTTTCTCATATATAAACATACACATATGTCCAAAAATATTTTTAAAAAAAATGAACACATAACGAAAATACCAAACGCAACTTATCATCCCTCGAAAGCTTCCATCAGTGACACCGATGACACGGAGAAAGGTCAGTTTAGTACAACAATTTATGACAGCAAATAGACACCGTTACGTCGCCACAGATGATGAAGAAAATCTGGTTGACTTCTTTGATGTTCAAAACAAGCTGGTTTTTCTTTTAAGACAGAGACTACTTCGCTTATATATCGTCTTTATCGGTTGCGCACTAGATACCATAGCAAAAGCTCCACTTTATGAATATACCATTTGTAAGAAGAAATTACATACAATTGATTTCACTAAATAGTCATTATTTTCATTGCAAAGAATATCATGAAACTATCAATATATTTGATCTTTCTGAGCTAGCAAAAAGTTACAATTTCTCCACTTATAACAAGTCAATATTTGTGGGTTCACGAGGCAAGTTCTTAACTTGACGTTTAAAAAATGTCATTAGAACTCTTGAAAAGCCACAAAATATTTTGTAATTACACAGTGTGGCCATAACGACAACGATATGAAAAGTAGTGATATATGAATGAATGAGTGAATGAATGAATGAACGATGCCGTGGGAAGGGATGAACATTGGCAACGCAAAGAATTACTGGGAGTTTTACATACGTAGACGGTGTAAATGTTACATTCTAGAAATATAGTCGCGTCAATTCTCTGGTGTTTTGGCAACGTATTTGGCGCTGACGGTGATCTGGACCAGCCAGCACGCGGCGGCGAGGTGACGGGGCGGAGCCTGAGCGCGTGAGAAGGCGCATCGGACGGCGGCACGTGAGAGTTATCCAGAAAGCAAACAAGATGGTGAACAAGTTGTTGCATTACTGCGGTACTCAACCCCCCAAAAAAATCGATGTCGTGATCTGGTGTGCGTAATTTCTAGTTCCCTGTCCTCTGTTTTTCATCGAAGTTTAATTTAATATGACGTCAGTTAATTACAAAAAGGAAATAAAATTATGGAAAATTGCTAATTGGCAAAGTGAACAAGGAATTACAAAGAAGTCATTTAAGTGCTCTAATTTGGTTGCAAGTAGTGGTGATAGTGGGCGCTGTTGTTGACGCAATCTTTAACCGAACTATCGAGAAATTTTTCTGCAGTTATAGTCGTGTGCGAGTTCATCAACTCGTATGAGTATGGAAATATGTTTTCGACTGTCTAGTTGTATAGCTTTGAGTACTTTGGAAAACCACACACAGTTCTAAAAATTCCACAATATCTCTTCTGTTATGCAAACCGCAAAGCCATATACACGAGATGAAAAATAAAATCGAACAACGCGACAAACTCATTTAAACAATATTGACGTTGGACACAGAGTGTTTTGAAGAACTGGGAACCAATAAGTTCGGCACAATTGGACTTGGAGAGAAAGGTGAGCTATAATTTGAGGAAAGTGTAAGCACATTGTATCCTATGAAGGACTTCTGAGAACGACTATTTTGCTCATGGTCACCTATGCTAGGTGAGTAGAAATATTTTAAAAGCAATCTTCATAATGGTGTGAAACGAAATTGAAACTCAGAAGCGTTGGCTTTTACTTTCAATGAAGCAGATGGCTTAACCAGAGAAAAAGGAAAAGGAGGCGGGTACAGAAAAGCGTCTAGATAATGATCAGAGCAGGAAAAGAATGTGCTTTGGTTTTGTTCTGCCGCATATTAATGCAACTGCTGAAGAGGTTCTCAGTATGTGCTTCCTCTCTAGTAATTAGTTTCATCTTGAATGTAAAATGTCGATCATAGAAGAATGAAAACCTAAATTCGAACAGAGTGTGGGAAGAGCAGTGGTAGTGATCCCGTTTACAACGTGGACAGTCCGTCCTACCCAAGCCATGGTTCGACCCCGAACCAAGCCCACCAAGCCTTTCATCTCTAGGTGGCCGGTGAATTGGTACCAGATTTATCTGGAAACTCCTTGCAGTCCAACTGTGAACACCCCAATCCGGCTACTCAGGAATCAGAGGAGAATGGACTCGCTCAAGCGGCAACCGAGACCACACACAAAATGCCCAAAGACGAATGCAGACTGTAGATGCGATGAATCGAATCGAATTCAAGAAGTGTTGAGATCTGTAAAGTGTGATTTCGAGTCGTCTAATAATAAAATAATAATAAGTGAGGAAGTTCAAACGAGTTGTTGTACATGTTCATCTGCTGCACTTAAAGGCGAGGACTTCCCTATTTATGGAAGTTATTACGGAGGAGTATAGGATAGTGTAGATGCAATGTGTCTATTGGGTAATGTGTTTATCGCACAACTATGTTGATATATAAATAATATGT